TTATTAATAAGAAAATACCAGTATTAGTAAGTCAGTAACATATAGAGGAGACATCATTTATGTTTTTTAAATAACAAACATATAAAATCAGAATTTGGTGTTTATTGACGGCAAACTAAATGCACGACCAAATACCAACCATGTCGGGATAGTATTATGAGGTTTTTTTTCCTGATTTTTCCCTCATAATTTACTATGGAATCACTAACAGCAGAATTTTATTGTCATCATGGCATGTGTTTGTCTTTTTAAAGACGAATTACTTGCTATGATTTTTTTCTGAATGATATTCTCAAGTTAAAGTTGATTTCATGTAATCAAATGTACTATCTTATTAGTAAAGTCGTCCCAGGAGCGCAACTCAACAGTATTGGCAATATCATTTTAAAGTCGTCTACTTTAAAATGCATAATGTATGTCTGAATTGTCAATATAAATGAGTCAGATAAAATTAAATTAGAAGAATTTTTCACTAAGTAACAAAAAACAAAAATTTGTTTAATTTACTGTTTGTATTTTGAGAACGATTTCCGAAGTGGAAATTGAAACGTCAATAAACGTATTTTATCCTTTAATTGTGGCTCATTCCCAGTTAAATAGTAATTAATTTAAAATGCCACAAGAAAATAACTTTGGAACAATATTTGGAAATTCTGGTCCAATACACAAAACTTTATTCAGCCCTCACAAATATTTACAACCTAATATTACATTTCAAAATTATTGATAGCACAGATTTTATAACATAATTTTGTAAAGTGTAAAATTGAGAAAAGAGGTAAGTATCGATATTTATAATTTTTCTTTTAAACAGTTCTTCGGTCATAAAAACTGCACTGTTTTCAAATTGAATATTTAAAAAATTTAAAAATAGTCATTGAAAAATGACTCGCATATGACGGATGTATTAAATGTAAGAATTTGATGGTATTAGGGAATTCCACTAAATTCTATTGATACCTACCTCATCTATGCGAAAACAAATTCTATTTATTTGCCCTTGTTCCTTCAACATTGGCGAACTAATCATGGGTTACGTTCTGAACCAACGCGGACTAAAAATGACGGTTATCAATAATATCAAAGTTAAATTGCGAAAGACTCTAAAATTGTTTTTTATGAACTTATGGGACGAAATGGTGCAAGTCATATAACTGGTTAGTCGTTTTTATAACGTTTTTTTTTATTAGTTGTTTCACGCTAGTGTTTGCGGACCACTGTGATCAAACAGAAAAAAATCAACGTAAGTTCTAAGTCAATTCTACAAGATGTTCCGTATCGGCAAGGCATAATATTATAGGTATTTTTCTATCTATGATTAAATTTTTAAATACACATTGTCGCTTATACATATGTGGAGTTTAGTTAAGTATATCGTTTAAGAGTTACGTGTTTCACATGACCAAAAAAAGTTTGTAAATTATTCTAAAACATAGAATATCTTAACGAGTGTACCAAATATTATTCTGAAGCTATTTTTTGTCATCACACTAGTCACAACTAGTCTTCACTAATGGAACAACTGAATGACAATACAGCAAAATATCTTCTTATGATACTTAATGACAAACTTCGGTGGAAAGAGCATATTAACCTTCGGATGACCAAGAGGAATCAATTCAAATGTATGTTTTTCTTTAATAAATTGTTGAAGTACAAATAATCATGGAAGTGAATGGCACATTGTAGAATGGAAAGAAATCTGAAAGCTTTTAACTTTTAGCAAGGAACATCCTAGCTAAAAGGCCTGGTAAAACTGAGTACAACTCAAATTTTACTACGTATACAGAAGCTTTCAAACTTTTTTTCCGGTAAAATTATAGACATTGTCATTCCTGAAACTTATATTGGCGCACAATCAATTTTAGGCGATAACTGGAACCCCGTCAGTAAGAAAGAACTGTATGCCTATATAGGGCTATTGCTTATTGTCGTATGCTTCAAGGCAAATCACGAACCAATTTTGGAGCGGATTGTGGATTACAAAAACTCGCCGTTTCAGAGTCCTATTTTTCGAGCAACAATGCCCCGTAACAGAATAAAGTATTTACTTCTCTTGTGATTTCTATGGTTTGACGATCTCTCAACACGCCCAAAAAAAAGGTGCTTCGAATAAGTTAGCTCCAATATGAGAGATACGTGACATTTTCGCCTCAAACTGTAAAAAGGCCTATCCTCCGAACCTATACTCCCAAAAACTTGTACCTTTTCGTGAAAGATGAAAGGGTCTACATGAAATCTAAGCCAGATAAATGCCTATGGCATAAAAATTTGGGTATTGTGTGATTCGACTAATAGGTAGATACCTATTGCTAGAACCTAAAAGTTTACCCAGGAATGACAAATAACATACCAGAAAAAGAGCAAGAAAATAATTATTATAGATAGCGATATCATATAGGTAAATAGTGCTAAATGATTTTTTCTTTTATAGGTAAGCGTGTCGTTTTGGATTTAGTTACTGGATTAGGATCTGGCTGTGGTGTGACCACGAACAACTTTTTTACCTCGATACTATCATCAAAGAAACTTCTACAGTAATCTAAAACACTTACACGACAATTAGAAAAAATCTTACGGAGGTACGTATCCAATCAATTTACCCTTGACAAAAATCGAGCGGAACATTCAAGAGAAATTTTGTACCTATATAACAGATGCCATTTTATCTTCTTATGTACCTATCTACCGAAAAAAAATTAAGAACATTCTGCTGCTGAGCACGCAACATTCTGACTTAAACGTGTCTGGCGAAGAAACAGCCTATAAGCCCCAAATTATTTTGGAGTATAATAAACATAGAGGTGAAGTTGATAGTTTGGATAATATGGTCATGGAATATTTATGCATAATACAAAGCGGTGGCCTCTAGATGAATTTTTCAATTTTATTGACAGGTGGTATAAATCCATTTGTCATATACATAGATAAATATCAAGATAAATACGAAAAAGGAAATCTTTTCGAACAAGGCACTTTTTTCAAGATTTGGCCCTTGAGCTAGTTACGCCCTTTATATAATCTCTACAGCGTCAAGGTGTAGATAAACACATTCAAACAGCCATAGATATGGAACTACCAAAATTTTTTTCAGAATATTCTGAAGATGTAGAGCCAACTGAAAATCACAGGAAATGTGGTCGATGTAAAATTTGCAGTCATCCGATAAAAAATTAAGATCGAAATGCGACAAATGCAAACATTTTTTCGGCAAGAAACACTCCAATATTTAAAAAAATTGTTTGTTATACCTGTGGCGACGTAAATTAGTGTATAGGTACTTTCAAAATTCTTTAGTTCTAAGTTCAGATGATATTTCCGATCTTTGTTCAGTTTTAATTAAAAATAAGTCTTAGTGATGGTAATTAATCATTTATTGATACAATTCCAACATTAAAATTTTGAATAGGTGCATTAATTTTTTTCTTAAACAAATTTTTTTATCAATTGTCATTTTTGACAGGGGTAATTTTAGACCCCTGTAAGAAAAAAAGGTTGGTCATCGGAAGATTAAGAAAGGACCGTGTTAGTTTCTTGATCGTAATTCGTATCAATCCCTAACAAGCTTATTATATATACCTAAGAGAATACTGCAATGCGTGGATTTATGCGTTGATTGAATAAATTTATGTTATCTAGTTATGTGACTGTTTCAGCAAAGTTTTCAGATCAAAGTGCCAAAGTGTACCTATTGTACCTAGAGTAGTAACCTAAACATTGATATGGTAAGTAATATCTAGATACAATGGTTAAATTGCCAAATCTCACGGAAAGAGACTCCAAAACCATGTAAACAAGAGTGCAAATAACTTGACGAATGTAGTAAAGACACAAGGTTAAAACTAATTGTACTTGATGAAAACAAAACTAGATAAGTATAATTTCTAAAAAAAAAATCAAAACAACTTCGGACAGCTTTATACAACCACGTATTTGCTGGCATCAGGCCAAATAATGCAGTTAATAAAAGTGTAAATGTAGTAGATAAGTACTAAGTAAATCAACTGAATGTATTTAGTATTTATAGAATGCACAATGTCTTAATAATGTCATTCTTATTGTTAAAAATTCTCCAGACACAACAAAAACCCATATTTATTAACATATGTTAATGAAACATAGCACACTTTCACTAAAACAACGAGTCAACAAAACGTGTAGAATTTATTTTGCCATTACCATTTAAACGGTAGACCCGTGACAGTTCATGAATATTCAGAGCCGCAGATTTTAAATTCCAAAACAAGGAAATGTAAATTCAGTGAAATTCACTGAATTCCAGACGATACACATACATAATGCCTTTCTAGGTATCGACAAAATTAGTAACAGCTCTCAATATTTAAAGCGGACGAGTGATACCAAAACAAAAGAACTACAAGACAAGATGAGTTTTAAATCCCAAACAGAAAAAAAGAAGAGAGAACCAATGCCAGACGTGAGCATGGAAAGGGGCAGACAATCTTTAAAGAGGCGTGGCCCGTTGATTTGTGGTCGCCATTTTGTCAAATAGTAGTGTTTTGTTTGAAGCTTTATCTCATTGGAGGATCTCCCACCTCTCTGATTATTGAATATTTTTCCAAGAGAAAGTGGTTTTTCCTGAAAAATCTTACTGATTTCTCAACTGAACCTCTCTACTTATATATCAGCTAAAATTTATTAGATTGTGTAGCACTATTACAATAAAATCATTATCCAAGTCTTCTACTCATTAAAATGATTTTACAAGAGTAAGACTGAAATCTAAATGTTTGAGAAGTCAAGTCTGTAACAAGTAGAATAAACAGATATAATATTTCAATATAACCCTAAACAATACAAAATTAAAACATCTTTTATGTTATCGACCCGCCTCACTAGCTAAACTCCTCCTTAACTTGGTTTGGCATCCAACCAATTCAGCTCGTTTTCCGACCAGCCCCGAACATCTCCGAAACAGGTTGCCAGGGGTGACCGATGCAAGCTTGTCTTCCAACATTTAGTATATCCGTGTATTTTAGCGTGAAAGTATCGAGCATACATGGTATGTACCTTTTTGTTTTGTTTTTGATAAGAATGACCGACTGATACAGGATTTAGTGATGTGTACATTGATTTTTTTGACTGTGAACGGTGATAGTGACAAGTTTGCGGATGACATCATGTGGATATACTAAAAGATTTGGTAAGTACCTTTTTACAAGTGATAAAGTTTGTCGGGGTTTTTTTGGGGCTTATCAATAATAGTTGGATATGGATCTTATCTATAATAAGACATATTTGCCCTTATATTATCTTGATTATAAGTATTAGATGGGCAACTTGATTCTTCGTTTTAAAACCAAGTTGTAGATGAACATTAAAGTATAAATATATTTTTATTCTCACAGCCTTTCAACAATATTTCGACAGCAAAAAATACAAATTATTTGGTTAAACAATCGTAAAATAGTTTCGAAACACATTCTTATTTTATTTGGTTAAACTTTATTTTAGCTACTTCAGCATAATTTGTAAAAATTCTAGGAAACTAAAATTAGAAAGGCTATTAGATATTGTTTTTTGAAATGCCTTCTAATGACACTTTCTAAAACGACATACCTGCTGGTATTTTGAAATATTTACTAAGAACTGCACATGAAAGCTCATTAAACAAGCATATTAATAAGTTATCTATCAGTGATCGTTGTCCAATACTCTGTTTTATTTGGTCATATTTTTTTATAGTTTCTAGACGACTTATTTGTCTTCACTGTGGTCACCTTGCTCTATTATTTTTGACTCTCTAATTTTTTTGATTAGGTATATTATTATCTAACCTTTACATCGTTTTAACCGTATTATCAGTTCCTGTGATCTTATCTATACCTATCTAAAAAAATCTTGAGATTGTTTCTGCTTCTTGATCTACTTTTTTAATCCAATAGTAATTGGTGCAAATAAAAAAATGCACTGTGGAATTTGTTAGGAGTACCAACAACAATGTAGAAGTCGATGCTATTTGTATAATTCCGAAATGGTTGGGGTTTAAGTACTAGTAATTTAAACATCAATTCGTCACAACCTAATTGTATTAATAAATCTCCTCGAATCTCGTATAATAAGTTTCCTGAAATTCCATGACATTGTGTGTTCTTGGCGTATATATAAATATTCCGATTCCCACAAAATTAGTTTTTCCTACATTATTTTATAATGCTTGTTTTTTTTTAAATGAATTTTATTAACTTTGTATGCCGGTTTAAAAATCTACTGTTTTCTTTTAAAGATGGCTCTTTGCATCATAATGACCCGTATTTCCGAATGCCCAGCATTTCTTTGTGATAAAATTTTCACACCTATTTTCACAAACTTGTCCAACGTTCAATTGTTTTCGTTATTGATATTTATCGAAGTTTAATTTAAAAGTTGTATTCGCACGCATAAAAAGCGTAGCTGTTTCATTTCGTAGACCGGAACTTTTTGTCTCTAAGTAGTCTTTTACTAACCGAAATGTCTATTATTTTTATCGAAAGTTTGTGTTTTTAACTAGTTTAATTATTTCTTTTTGGTGTTTTTTATTTTCTGCTACAGTATAAAGATCATTTTTTGTTTTGAATTACAGTAAACTTGATTCTACTTATAGAATTTGTAATGTAAATATGCATTTAAATATCTTTTATTTACCTATAATTTTTCATACTGTTTGCTGTAGGTATATATCATTATACCTTCCTGCAACTATAGTTCTATTTTCTTACTACCGGTACTATCCAAAATGATTGAAACTTATTAAAAGCCCAGCTTATATCCTTTCTCATTGAAAACATTTTATCACAAAATCAGTTCGGTTTTTTATCTAATAAATTAACCAGTGATGCTATGTTTTCTGTAGGTACTACATGTAGTTTACCGAGTACTAAACAATAATCTTTACATTGTCCCTGTTTATTGTGACTATGCCAAAGCTTTTGATTGTGTAAATCACGAAATTTTGGTACAAACCCAAATTTCTAAGGAATTAGAGGCATTTCTTTGAATTGATTCCAATCTTACTTGGGTAATAGGAAACAACTAGTTAGAACAAATGATACTGACTCTAGCCACAAAAAATTGTATGTGGAGTACTACAAAGTTCAGTATTGGGTCCTCTACTTTTACTTGTTTTTGTAAATGACATCACTAATTTCAAAATCGATGGAAAAATTTTTCTTTTTGCTGATAATACCAGTATCACCTGGAGAAACTCTAGACACTCTTCTAGCAACTATAACTTCTAACCAACTTATAATAAAAACCTTATCTGATTCTATAATTTACGCTCTTTTAACGCGGATAAAGGCAATAGCATTATACTATAAAGAAGCTCTTCAACCCTTGCGTTTTCATAACAACCAGATCAGTATCGTTGATTCTGTAACATTTCTTGGTACTTTTATTTACAGCAACCTCAAATGGTCCCTTCTTATCGATTTGCTAAGTAAGAATAAACTAGCCTTAGCCTGCTATGCAATAAGATCTCTTTCAAAGGAAATTAATTTAGCATCTTCCAAAATAACATATTTTTCTTTGTTTAAATCTCATCTTCGATGGTCTTCCTTTTTGGGGTTCTAATACAGCTGCCCAATCTGATATTATTTTTAAATTGCATAAAAGAGCAATACGATATGTGTTTGGCCTAAAAAAAACTGCACATTGCAGAAGCTACTTTAAAAATCACGGGATTTTAACGTTTTCCTCTTTATATATTTTATAAACTGTTTGCTTAAATGCTAGATGTTTTTCCAGCAAGACCTAATCATGACTACATACTCCACCAGAAATTCAACCTTTGATGTTTAGTTACCGATCCTATCAACTGAGTTAGTAAAGAAATCTATATTATATTCGGCAAAAAAAGTATACAAACATCTCATTTAGAACTTAAATCCGCAACATCTTGCACCAAGTTCCGTAAAATCACAAAAGTCTATCTATCTGAAAGACCAAATTACAGTACCTTTATGTACAAGTAACTAAAGTATTTTTCTTAATGTATATTTGGGTATCACATGCAGCAACTTCAAATTTGTAATGGTTTGTTTGTTTTATTATATTTTATTTTGTGATATTGACGAAATATGTAATTTCAGACAATTTTAATTGTTATTGATATGTTATAAACTTTTTGTACGATTTTTTCATAAAATTATACAATTTTCAGTGACAATAAACCATATGTCAATTCTATTCTATTGAAAAATATTAAAAGATAGATACATCTACTCCGTAAGTTATTATGAAAACTTGTTAACACAAACATTTGCAAATTTATGTAAAAATTAAATCTGGTAATTCAAATCCTACAAAATTATTATTCTCGCCGATATATGAATGGGATTATAAGATTAATCTCCTCTATGATTTGTCATTTCTGCAACAAAAAATAAGATGACTGATTATGAACACGTCTAATCAGCATACAATTTGAATACATTTAAACATATTCAAAAATATCATAACTGCTTTTCTCATGACTAATTTGCCATTAAAGAGGAAACAAGTTTGTGGTTGAATGGATATTTATTCCATATTGATGATGTAATTTAACGTTTCAATGAACCTTGATGAATAAATTATATTTATAATACAATTTAAGAAGTAGTCACAAAATATCCTTTTTAAATATAATATATTCTATAAACAGAGAATTTTCAAATTTTTAACATCTTTATTTTTTTTAAATATTCTTTTTTGAAAACGATTTCCGGAGTTGGAATCGAAACGTCAAAACCAACGTATAATGTAACTTTATTACAATCAAATTGTAGTTTAATTTTATAAAATTAATATTTAATTTCAAATTTTAATCTTATCAACTAACATTGTTAGAGGTTGCTATCACCTGTAGATAACATATTTTATATTTATTTCAATACAGGTGCTACCAGAAACAAAAAATTACCTTAAGTTAACTCTTAGATGTTTATATGAAACTAAATCTTTTGATTTGTTTTATAACAAGGTGAACTTGTTTTAAATGCGTTATGCGTTCTTACTTCAATTTTTTGAGTTGTCTTTGAGCAGCTTTTCTATTCCGGTTCATTGGTTCCTGTGTTTAGTCACTGTTTTCTACTATCAGTATAATTATAAATTCGTATTGGAGCCCCGTTTTTCAATTGGAGTCCAATTTTTCTACATAATTTAATACATAGTATTTCTACATAAACTACATAAATTTAACCTATTGTTACTATCATTATATATATTCATTTAGTCAGTTTGTGTCATTCTTTTGTTTCATTGGCATATATTTTCACAATATTTGTTACTGTTTTACGCCTTTTTTCTCTTTCATGGTGTGTACTTTACCTTATGTTTCCTTTTTTATATAATAGGATGTCTTTATTTTATATTACCTTTTAAATTATTACCGTTTTGTATTTTAATCCATTTGTCTTAACCATATTCTCTTTAATTCTTCAAATTTCAACACTATTTGAATGAGGTGCAAACTTATGTTGCCTAAGCCCAGATTCTTTTGTAAGCCATCCAAAACACACTTAAAAAGGGAATTCCACGCCTGGAATCCTAATTAATTTTGATCATGTGTTCGCAAGATAGTACTGGCATAAACAAAAAGGTTAGTGCAATTATCATCTGAAACATCACAATACTTATCATCAAGAACCTTTAAATTGATAACAGGTCTCCTTCTTGGATGCTTTTCTTTAAGTTGATATTTCAATAAGATCAGTCCGACATAGTCTTCAATTTCTACAAAGGGTTACTCTTACACCTTCAGAGATAAGAATTATATCACCTAAAAAGCTAAATATCTCACTCTGAAGTAGATAACAGATAAGACCTATAAACTTAAACAGCCCTTAAAGCAATTGGTGAAACATAATGAAGCAACTTTGTTATGTGCTAACGAATAAAGACATTAATGATAACGGTATTGCCAACAGTTTTGTAAAGAATGAACTATCACTCATATCGCAAACGCTATTACTATTGAGGCAATCAACGTATCTCAAAGCAGATAATATGTTTTCTTTTAGATTTTCTGTAATACACGATAGATGTAAGGTCTTTCACACTGTAAGTTACAGTGTGAAAGAAGTCCAAACGACCTCTTTGAAATTAAAAATCTATAGTTTCTCACATTGAAGTTATTTGAAGGATTTTTGTTTGGCTTTTATTGTATTCGTGGCAATACCAAACACAGTTTCTTTAGTACATATCGAATACTGTCTCACTAACCCATACAATTATTTATTTACTTTTAAATTTTATTATTCATTTTATTATTGCTACGGTTCTCTTACAATACAATTCATGGTAGATAATCAGAAGAGTCCGATTTCACTGTCGTTAGCTGATCCATCGTGGCATCTTTAACTAACCAAGCAATTGTATTTAAACCAAAGTGTAATTTTGCAAATTTTGGATGTTAATATCCTTGGGTTATATCTGTAATCATTTATTTTAAGGTCTTGTTTTTATTTCTATCATATTTTTAAAGATAAACTCACCATAGAAGTTTGGCGTTTCTAACGAACATAATGTAAAACATAACTTAATTAACTGGAAACATAAGCATCTATAAATATCGACATTTATATTCCCCTATTCCATTCATTCCCCTATTTATATCTGTAATTTCAAGAAAGTCGAATCATGTTTCGGTGCCCTGGCGGATTTACTTCGAACTGACTAGATTAGTAAGTTTGTGGTTGGAGCGACATTCCAACTAAATATTTTTCAAATGCAGCAGTATTTAATCAAAAATGGATCCCCGGGATTAAAGTAGAATTCACGAATAAATAAAGAGTAGTAGGATGGGGTCTCACGGTTCTATGATGCACATTGATTGATCCCGAGCAGAAAGCTAAAGACGCTAGAAAATCGAAACATGTACACAGAAAATTGAGTCTTATTTTTTATACAATATATGAAATTTTTATTAGAGTACTCAATTTTTATTTAAATTGTGAAAAGTACTATTTATAGTTAATTTAAATAAACATAAACTCGTGTTTTTAAATTATCATCAGACTTATCAAGATTACCTAACTTGTTATTATTTAGGTGACATTGTAGATAAGACTCCTTTACCTTTATCGTTCAATAAACGATAGACTACTATATGATTTTTAAACATGTAGGTACCTACAAACAGATTTTACAACTTTATTCTTTGTTAACAAAAATATTCTGTAAATACATATATGGATAGAGATTTCTTAAGTTTCTTTATTTTTATCTGTTAACGTTACTCCCAAATATTTAAAACATCAAAGTATCTCAAAGTTATATTCCCTGCCTGGGGATACTTTCCAAAACTGTTCTAAATGTTCAATATTTTCCACCATCTGCATATTCGTTGTTTTCTTTTCATTTACTTCCAGTCTATACTCCCAATATGGATATAGAAAATATAAAATTTATTTGAAATAAAATCCTTTCATTTATTAATACTTATTGTTTTGTTCTATTTCAACTTTAACTGTCTTGCTTGGGCTTAATTATCCTGTAATATTTGTGATTTGTAATGTTTAGCAACATTTGTACCCCTCATCTTTGCACACATTAATATCTTTATGCAAACTTCTCAGGTGATATCTTCAGTTCTAAATCATCTCACCACATTTTTTTGCCGCAGTTTCTGATCTCTTTCTACCAGTTGTAATGTTAACTGCTCGCGTGCTTTTTTTGGGAGGCCGTTTATTATACCCGGTAGTACTGCACCCAATCGGCATATTGTAGGTATATCTTCCATTCGTGTAATTTTCTGGTTCCGGTTTTAGTGTTAGAGACTATTTACCTACCGGGACCAACGGCTTTAGGTGCCTTCCAAACACCATGACGGTTCAGTTAAATTCTAAATTAAAAAATTTCTGGTGTCTACTGGGATCAAACCTCGCCCCTCTGGCTTGGTAAACCTAGCCAGTCAGTTATGGTCGCCACCTACTCGCGTATTAAAAACTCAATAATTTCATCTACTATAGAGTTTTATAGAAACAGTATGGCTTACTTGGATTCCACGATATGAGTTTATTACTTGTGACAGTTACTGTTTGTAGTTTAGTTTATTTCTATATTTTATATTGTTCAATTTCTATCAGTATTGCACAGACGTCCTTAACATAGTACCAACCTTTGGATCTATCCCAGATAATTCATATGTCTTTATATTGCGCACATATTATATTAATAGTGATTTTGTTTTTATCAAAAGAGTTTTATTAAAATACATTTTTAGATAACTTTTTTTATTTATCTTTGTCAGTTTTATAATATTGTCGTTATCTATATCACGTATCAAATAATTTGTTTTGTTGTTAAACTTCAATAAAGCTTTGTCTAAATAAATTTAACATTTTTTTCAGTAGATACATCAAGTTATAGGTTTCATGCAGATAAGTACATTTAGAATAACTTGTTAAAAGAAAATATGAACAGTCTAGTACTATGGATCTTAAACATCTCGAAAGATATATCACCTATAAAATAAATATTTTAAATGTTAGTATGATTATTCTTAAAATAAATCATGTGTAGTAGGTAGTTAACTGCTTCTATTCAACTGATATATACACACAGTTGACTACAACAAATCTTATCGTATTACAAACATGCTCCTAATCGCTGACAAACCTTCAAGATATTAGTTTATCTTCGATCAAATATTTACTCAACACTCAATATAACAAAAATAAAATCACTGCAAAAATTTGATAATAAAAAGCTCTACTGATAAACAAAAAAACACCGAAATGATAAGAGACTTTGTTTTTCAGATCAAGTCACCATCATCGTCGTCGCCCGTCGCATCGAAACAATTGCTTGCTTTTTACAACAGTCTACTATGACCAAAGAGATTATCCGCGTTCACGTGTGATTTTTCGATTTTTTTCGTACGAGTTTTATTTTTGGAATTTTTCGTGTGTGAAGTGTTAGAAAAACTCAGTAACTGATGATTATGGAGATGACAAACGAGTTGCCTAGGTGGTACGAGAGTCCCAGGACTGGGACTTCGGCTAGTCCGGGCCAAGGAATTGATGGAGGGAATTCAGACCTTAGTTCCGGTGTCGCTGAACATATGGGGACGTTCTTCTTGGATCCTTCGGGTACCCAAAGGGCAGCTAGGTATTACCACCAGACCATGCATTCGTCGTACGGCAGCCACGGTAAGTCTAATATTAGTGTTACCTATCGCAATACTGTGCGATTTAATAAAGCATGCAGAGGTCTCCTCCTGAAATAATTTTATTTTATTAGGGCCGTCTATTTTCTTTCATAATCCATATATTATATTTTACATAAATTTGTAAAAATAAGATACTACTAATATTACTACTACTATACTATAGTATAACGTAATCTATACTAGACTACAATAATTTGTAAATATGAAGAGTGTTGTATATACATCAGCGCTGCAGGCCTTGCAGATCCTGGCTCCCAAAAACTTGGTAATTTTCCTCCATTTTTCCGGTCCCTTGCTTGTTCTCTACAATCTCTCGCGCCAATTTCTAACAATTCTTGCGTTACTGCTTCTTACCATTTCTTCTTTAAACGTTCCTTTCTTTTTTCCTCATTCCTCCCTCATTCAGTATTGTTGTAAAATTTTGGTTCTTTGTCATCTGATTAAACCATCTAGCTCTTTCTGCTCGTATTTTTGCCGCATTTGTTATTTCTTTGTACATCCTCATTATTGCTTTATTGTTCGTATTCTTTAGATATTTTCTTTCATGTGTTTTTCTCTGAAAATTTTTCTGAACCTTTATTTCCCAGATATCTACTGTTTTTTCTTCATGCTGGTTCATAATCCATGTTTTACTGGCATACATCAGCGTCGGTTTTATTACTGACTAGTAGACCCGCTGGGCACATTTTTTGATTTCAGTATTGAATGAAAAAAGTATTATACCATAAAAATCTAAAGATGAGCCTAAGGATGAGGCTATGACGGTGTTAAGTACTATGTTCATTGCTACTCTACGGCTTTGAGGCCTGGACGCTGAAACAATGAGAGATTAATAAATTAGAGGCATTTGAACGTTGTTGCTATCGTAGAATTCTGCGTATATCCTGGATAGGTAGAATTACCAATATTTGTATACGCAGAGTTAATAAAAAGAAGGAAATCTTTCTTCAGTCTCTAGGGGTTGAGACTTCTCCAAACCAACCATCTTTCATACTATCGATAGTTTTATAGAACATGCCTGATAATGAGAACTTCAAGCTATATTGGAACCTTACTGTGCTCACAAACTACCAAGTGGCACATAATAAAGCAATTCTCATACTAGTTACTAAATTACCGACACAAACAACACTTACCCCAAGAGCCCCATCAGAGCTCAAGACTTTGATACCGTAGGTATCTGAAATAAGTGACTTTTTTCCTTAGAGTGAGTGAGAGCCGTATGGCTAAATCTGAATAATAATTAAAAATTATTGCTCAAAAAACAAAATATGTGTGCTTCTCCAAGTCTGGTAATCAGGAACTTAGATGGTACGAAGTTAAAAGGTGTGGATACCTTTATATATCTAGGTTCATTACTGACTAAGAATAACAACGTCTGCAAAGAAGTCAAGCAAGTTTGCGTTAGAAACGATTCTAATATATTTAGAAGTAAAAGAGCTGGGTTTGTGGCGTAGACGTTACAACTTTGATTTATATAGAAGCTGACGTTGTGAAAGATTAAGATTAATATAGCACGTCTCAGATGGATTGGGCACGTAATCAGAAGGGAGGATGATACGACGGTGAGAAAAGTATTAGACTGAAGAGGGTCAACGGGACGACCTACTTGGGGTAGATCGAAACGTAGGTACCTAGACAACTTGGAATCTTCTTCACGTGCCATCTCCGAGTCGGAGGTTGGCAATCATCATGGCTATTCTGATCTTAGATGCTGCTGCTCTAAATAGTTCAATTGATGTGCATCAGTACCATTCCCTCAAGTTACGCAACCATGAGATTATTCTTCTTCCTACACTTCTCTTGCCCTGGATTTTCTCTTGTATAATGAATTGAAGTAGGCTGTATCTCTCATTACGCATAACGTGTCCCAGGTATTGCAGCTTTCGTATCTTGACGGTTTCCAATACTTCCATTCTTTTGTTGATTTTTCTCATGTCTTCGTTGTTTGTCACATATTCGGTCCATGATATCTTCAGGATTCTTCTATACACCCACATTTCAAATTCTTCCAACTTTTTAGCAGTCGATGCGTTAAGTGTCCATGCTTTCATCTCATAAAGCAGAGTCGAGAAAATATAACACCTTGCCAGCCCAACTCTCAAGTCCAATTTTAGTTCCCTTGCATAAAGTAACTTTCTCATTTTATTTAAGTTTGTACGTGCTTTCTCTATTCGAACTTTGATTTCTTTGGAGTAATCGTTTGTGTGAATACGACTTGGATACGACTTATAATCTAAGTTCAAGGGTAGAGAAGAATGACTAAAGATACGACGGAATGATAAAATGTTCTAAATAAGGCTTTGGCTCATATACGGTTATAGTGTTAATGATGATGATGACTCTATGGATATGAGGCCTGGACGCTAAAACAATCAGAGATTAAAAAGTTAGAAGCATTTGAATGCTGGTGTTTTCATAGAATACTGCGCATATCGCGGATAGACAGTAAGACCAATATTGAAGACCTATGCAGACTTAGTAAAAATGTAGAAGTGAAATGTTTACTTGAAAGTAAAAAAAGGTAGAGTAAGAAGGCAAACCTTTTGGTTGCGAAATCTAAGACAATGGTATACCTTGAGCTTCATTAAACTTTTAGAGCCGTTACATATAAAGTGAAACTTTTCCACGTTAAAAAAAACTTTTGGTAGCAGACGAAACTTTAAGAAAAAGAATATATGAGGTAAAACAAGATAAGATAATAAGGCAAGCTAGCTTCTTAGTGTGTTTTCAGGCCGTTTGTAAGCCGTGGTTTTAGTAAAACCAAAATTTAACAAAATGTTTAGACATAGTGGTATACCGAAACCTAACACACTCGCACTGTTACTTGAACAACAACTTGAATTATTACCCTTAACAAAACAAAATACTTATAGAAACAGTGTTGGTTCGAAGAAACAGAAGTAGGAACTCCTGTTCTAAAGTTTGGATGTAAAATATATTATTTCGAGTAGGAACTCACGGTTCCCGGTTAGTAATCCAATTACATCGGTATTTTGCTGTATAATTTATTACTCCCAAGTATGTCTTCAATATAAATCCAACCACTGTTTTTTGCAGTTTTGCGGTTTGTTCTGCAAGTACTCTAAAAGTTCACTGAAGATGAACTGATTAGTCTGAAAACGTTCTGATCTTTATCATAATCCATTTAGATTTTTAATTTTAATTTTTTATTTAAATGTACCACTTGGAACACATGTTGTTTATTTCGATGTTCTAGTTTTTAAACACAAGTGCTTAGTAGAATATCAAACTTCATTCCACATATGTTCAAAGAGGCTATCGAAATTCAATTACATCCAATCGATTTCAATCGCCTTTAGATTTCGATTAAAGAAAGGACTCTTCATCTAAACAGAAAAACAGAATGTGGATATCAGGGATACGAAATACAAAACCTGTCCTCAAATACACCAAGATTTGCCCCATGCAAACGGTGCAATACAAATAGAGGATCGGAAAAACGTTTTGCTAATGATTTTCTCCCATCATGTAGTTATTCAAATATTACAAATATTATTTTTTTGTGAATCTGAAAAAAATATATACAGAAAACTAAAACAGCAAAAAGTAGAGACAGAAAAAAGTTTTTTTACTTTTCCTCTTTCCTTCCTGTTTAATAAATAGATAAGATCTTATCTTTCTTGGTCACCTCGCATTATTTTCACTGAATTTTAATACTGCATAGACTATGGATTCCGAATAATTGTATTTGTGCTTATTCTTATTCTTACAATTGTATTAAATAGGTATTTTTTTTAGGTAATCCATTACTCCAGTATTTCCAGCTTGTATACCCTACGTCAATCATAAATATCTATTTGTAGTTGTCCTCCATATTTACGTTTTTTATTATCCTCTGTACAAGTTATGCCGTTATGCTTAAATAGTTTTCTTGCAGTTAAAGTGAGGTATTATTTAGCTCTTTTATAAATAATAATACCCAATTCTTGGAAATATTCATTCTTTGCATAATTAACTCAGTCTTTCAGTCTGGCATAAACAAATGTTATTTCCCCTCCATATATTATTTACCAGTGTTCTTGGAAATCCTGTCGAAAGAATTCACGGTATTTTCGAGTACCTAAACCTCGTACAATTATAAATTTAAAATTATTATAAACGAGCTTTGTTAACGACAGGAATATTTTTGATAGGAAACGAAAGAATCTTAGTAAATGACTGTTTTTGAAGTATTTCACTTTAATGCATTTTTGTAGCATTCCATAAATTCAATTCTATCAACAACAGAGGCGTATAATTTAAAAAGAAAATTTAATGAATGTGTAAAGAATATAAAGTATATTTTATTGGTTTAGAATAAATATGACAGTACGATAAATGTACCGATATATTCGAAAAAGCTATTTTTGGACTCTTCTAAAAAAATTTACTACGCCTTTCTCCTTTTATTTTAATTCTTTCCTTAAGATTTTCCTTTTTACAGATATTTTATAGATTTATGTTTTTATTTACTAAAAGTTTTCGATGAGTTCATCACAACTACCTCTAACCGACATTGAATATTTATTGATAATCTGGAGTTTTCTACATCGAGCAATGTCAGATTTTTCAGATTTTCATTATTTAAAAGGTTGACTTTTATTGTTGTTTTGTTATCATCTTATACAAATAGAACGTTTTGAAATTGTTGTTGGAATTAATTCGAAATGTATAGCAAACTTCAGTTAAAGCTTAACCCATGCTTTTTTGCAGTAAATAACTGGTGTTGTAGAAGATAGGTCATGCTAAGTATTGGTAAGGTCAGATCTTTTGCTAGCAAGAGTGTCATAGGAAAAAATAGATCTGCTGAGGTTTGTGTTAACATCTAATGCCAAACTATCAGTGTAAGAAAATATTCTTCTTTTTTTTTCTTCTATTTTGACGTCACGGGTCTCCTCCATTCTGTTTAAGTAGGTGGTTTTTCCATTTTCTTTTTCTATTTTATGTCCATTCATTTATACACTGTACGGTTCATTT